TGAATGGGGAAAGGCTGGAAGCATTTCCACTGAGATCTGGTACCAGACAGGGATGCCCACTCTCACCATGGCTATTCAATATAGTTCTGAAAGTTTTAGCCAAAGTTATTAGGTAAGAAAAAGAAATTAAAGGGTGCAAATTGGGAAGGAAGTACTCAAACTAACCCTCTTTGCAGATGATATGATTTTTTACCTAGGGGACATAAAAAAAACTCTACTAAGAGACTATTGGAACTCATAGAAGAGTTTGGCAAAGTAGCAAGATATAAAATCAATGCACAAAAATCAACAGCCTTTGTATACACAAGCAATGCCATGGCTGAGGAAGAAATTCTAAGATCAATCCCATTCACAACAGTCACAAAAACAATCAAATACCTTGGAATAAACTTAACCAAGGACGTCAGAGATCTCTATGATGAAAATTACAAAACCTTAAAGAAAGAAATAGAAGAGGATACCAAGAAATGAAAAATCTTCCATGCTCATCGAATGGAAGAATCCATATTATCAAATTGTCCATTCTCCCAAAAGCAATTTATACATTCATTGGAATACCAATCAAGATACTGAAGACCTTCCTCTCAGATCTGGAAAAAATGATGCTGAAATTCATATGGAGACACAGGAGACTTCGAATAGCTAAAGCAATCTTGTACAACAAAAACAAAGCCGGAGGCATCACAAGACCAGATTTCAGGACATACTACAGGGCACTTGTTATGAAAACAGCATGGTACTGGTACAGAAACAGATGGATAGACCAATGGAACAGAATTGAAACACCAGAAATCAATCCAAAACTCTACGGCCAACTTATATTTGATCATGGATCCAAAACCAATCCCTGGAGTAAGGACAGTCTATTCAATAAACGGTACTGGGAAAACTGGAAGTCCACGTGCAGAAGCATGAAGCAAGACCCCTACCTTACACCTTACACAAAAATCCACTCAACATGGATTAAAGACTTAAATCTATGACCCAACACATTCAAATTATTAGAGAGCATTGGAAAAACCCTGCAAGATATAGGTACTGGCAAAGAGTTTCTGGAAAAGACCCCGGAAGCACAGGCAGCCAAAGCAAAGATTAACATTTGGGATTGCATGAATTTGAGAAGTTTCTGTTCTTCAAAAGAAACAGTCAGGAAAGTGAAGAGACAACTGACAGAATGGGAAAAATATTTGCAAACTATGCAACAGATAAAGGGTTGACAACCAGAATCTACAAAGAGATCGAGAAACTCCACAGAAACAAAACCAACAACCCACTTAAGAGATGGGCCAAGGACCTCAATAGACATTTTTCAAAAGAGGAAATCCAAATGGCCAGCAGAGACATGAAAAATGTTCAAGATCACTAGCAATCAGGGAAATGCAAACAAAACCACAATGAGGTTTCACCTCACCCCAATTAGAATGGCTCACATTCAGAAATCTACCAACAATAGATGCTGGAGAGGATGTGGGGAAAAAGGGACACTAACCCACTGCTGGTGGGAATGCAAACTGGTCAAGCCACTATGGAAGCCAGTCTGGAGATTCCTCAGAAGCCTGAATATAACTCTACCATACAACCCAGCCATCCCACTCCTTGGAATTTACCCAAAGCAAATTAAATTGGCAAACAAAAAAATCTGTCTGCACCTTAATGTTTATTGCAGCTCAATTCACAATAGCTAAGACCTGGAACCAACCCAAATGCCCATCAACAGTAGACTGGATAAAGAAATTATGGGATATGTACTCTTTAGAATACTATACCGCAGTAAGAAACAACGAAATCCAGTCATTTGCAACAAGATGGAGGAATCTGGAAAACATCATGCTGAGTGAACTAAGCCAGTCCCAAAGGGACAAATAGCATATGTTCTCCCTGATGGGTGACAACTAACCGAGCAGCAAAAAGGAAACCTGTTAAAGAGAAAAGGACAGTATGAGAAACAGTGACTTGATCAGCCCTTGCCCTGACTGTTAATGAACAACTTAATACGTTGTCCCTCTTAGTATTTTTTTTGTTTATTCTACTTAATACATTTGGTTGAATACTGTAATCAATACACAGTTATTCTTAAGTGCTGAAACTTGATTGAAAAGTGATCCCTGTTAAATATAAGAGTGGCAATAAGAGAAGGAAGAGATGTTCAATTTGGGACATGCTCAAGCTGACTTGCTGCAAATGGTAGAGTTAGAAACATACCAGGCGAATCCAATTCAATCCCATCAAGGTGGCATGTACCAATGCCATCTCACTAGTCCCAGTGATCAATTTCTGTTCACAATTGATCATAATGATAGGACTAAGAACCAAAGGGATCACATAAACAAGACTACTGTCTGCTAATACTAACTGATGGAAGAAAAAAGGGGGAGAACAATCCAATATCAGAAGCGGGATACACAGCAGATTCATAGAATGGCAGATGCACTAAACAGCACTCTGGACTCAGAATCAGCCCTTAAGGCATGCGGATCCAGCTAAAAAGCCCATGAGAGTATTTCAGGCATGGAAAGCCAAGACACTCCGGGGGGGGGGGGAAACCTAAATGAAAGATCTCCGCGAGTGAGATCCTAGTGGAAAGAATAGGTCATCAGAGAAGGAGGTACCTTTCTCTGAAGGGAGGAGAGAACTTCCACTCTGACTACGACCTTGCCTAAATATGATCAGAGTTGGTGAACTCAAAAGGCTTCCATAGCCTTGGCAACTCATGACAAGAGCCTAGTGTGATTACTGATGCCATAAACAAGAGTGTCAATTTGTTAAGTCAACAACAGGAGTCCTGTGCACTTACTCCTCATGTAGGATCTCTGTCCTTAATGTGCTGTACATTGTGATTTAATGCTGTAACTAGTACTCAAACAGTATTTTTCACTTTGTGTTTCTATGTTGGTGGAAACTGTTGAAATCTTTACTTAATATATGCTAAACTGATCTTCTGTATATAAAGAGAATTGAAAAAGAATCTTGATGTGAATGGAAGGGGAGAGGGAGTGGGAAAGGGGAGGGTTGCGGGTGGGAGGGAAGTTATGGGGGGGGAAGCCATTGTAATCCATAAGCTATACTGTAGAAATTTATATTCATTAAATAAAAGTTAAAAAAATAGATACTAACAAATATCAAGTGTTTTACTTCAGGAAATTAACCAAGAATTAAAAATAATTATATTCAAGAATGAACAGGTGAGTGATGCAGTTGATAAACATCTTATAAAAATTATTGAATATACAGTCTTAATAATGATGGTGACTAATCAAAGGTTGGGTCCTGTGGATAAAAACCTGGAAGCTAAAAGCCAAATTAGAGAAGTATTGGAAATTAATATATAAAGTTTTTTATTAAATGATTTAAAATTCTTCTGTTACTTAGGAAATGATTTGAAATGTTGATAGAATTTAGACATTTAAAAGGTTAATTGTATTAAGACAGTACTAATATCACCCAAATTCATCCAATCTCTGCATTTTTTGGCTTCAACAACCTTTCCCACTGACTTTCCATGCAAGTATTCTAAACATATGATCTGAAAACTATAGTGGATATTATGTCAATTAACCACAGCATCAGTTTCAAGTGATATGATTAAAAATTACATAATTACCCTAAAAATGTTTTCCTCAGCATGTTAACCAAGAAGACTAGCCAGTGGGTCAACATTCTCCTATGGGGGATGTTATCATCCCTCATTTGATATAACTGAATAAGAATTCTAGAAGTGTTTAGTTATGTTAACAAGGTTTCAGGATCACTGATATTACAAAAAGATAGGAAAAATGAGGGAAATTATAATATCGAAGATATGTGGTTTGTATGTTACTTGTCTGCACTTGTGAATGCATACCCATATAACTTTGTGTTTTTGTTTGTCTACCCCATGTGTGTGAGGATCAATGGTAGTCATTCATTCAACAAATATTTATTGATGATTCAGCACAATCCAAATATGATGCTACATGCTGTTTATACAATGCTGAGGAAGATAAACCTGGTCTTTTTCCGAAATGGTAGAATACTAATTAATCAGGCCCATGGTGAGGAAAAGAACCTTGAGACATGCTGTGTTCAAGCACTGTGTGACAACTCTTTTTCTCAAAATAATGACAGGGATAACAAAAATCAATATTATTAGTTTGATGAAACTAATTCCAAAGTTTAAGAGTAAAGAAAAGATCACAATGAGAAGAGATCAAGGATAAGAGATTTAAACATTCTTACTCAAAGGGGAAATTTCTGGAATAAATGATACCATACAATCTAGGTGTGCTGCTTAGAGAGCTTGCCCTGTAGATTTGATGTGCTTTGGAATGGTAGTGAACCTGGAGAAACCTAGAAGAAATATCATCAGTCCCCTAAACAGAAAAATAAGGACTGTAAATCAGAGAACCTAGGTGGGAAAATACAAAATATTTTACACCTGCAGAAAGACACAAACCCCATCACTGTTGGGGCTGAGAAATTATAATCTTATTCAGATTATTAGACAGAGACATGCACCTTTTAGGGAATGGAAAGGGATCTAGTGAATACTACTTTGTAAGACTGAGAGACTTGGGAATGCATAGAATTCTTAGTCCCTTATAATGTTTTTTATTGGGAAAATTCTTCTCAACTGATTGGGAAAGACATTGACTCAGTTGTTCATGAGTGTACATATTGAGATTCTACTTGAAGAGACACCAAATAAAGAAGTAAACATTTCCTATGTGAACACAAGGATAAAAGTACAGAAGGATTCTTCTTATGCATGACCATATTCCATCACTCACTTATCCAATTATTTCCCAAATCTAAGCTCCCAATACACTATTTAATAAGCTGAAGGAAAGAAAAGAGAGATACATTTAAACAAGTATTCACTTATGCCTGGATTGGCAAGAACAACTAGGTTGTTTTTAGATGTATAATTTTAAAACTTATGGTGCAATTAATTCTTAATTATTAGTATTTATCTTGATTTTTAGCACACACTGATTCTAAGAAATACCTCCTAATTTACTTACTTGCTGGTAACAGCATGGCTGCTGCTTTCTGATCTGTATCAAAATGAGAGTAAAATTAATGCTTCCAAAATAATATTAACAAATAAAGACCATAAAGAATGAATATTCAATATCTTATAACCTGTAATAACTCTTTTATAACTCTTTTTGAGCATTTTAATTGCTAAATTAGGATATGCAAATAAGCAACTAGGAAGCAGAGCAGGAAAACAGATTTGCTACTTCCCAGCATAGAATACCTGCGTGAATTTGAAAGTCTTCTTCAGGCTTTGTTGAAACCTGATGTTTAATCCATTAAGAAATAAATAACTATAGGTTGTGACTGCACTGACTGCTAGATAAGAAAGAAGAATGTGCTAGCAGATTAATTCCCCATCCTATTCCACATTTCATAAAATTGTGACAAATTTTTTTAAAAAGATCTGTAGAAGTAAAACTGACACTTCGAGAAGCAATGACATTGAACAGCCCCTGTCTAGACTATAGAGGAACAGTTTTTTTTTCATACTATCTGTTGAACTCTTTACTTAACAGAGACAATCATATGTGTACAAAGTTAATTGAAAATAGATCTTAGTGAAAAATAAGATTGGGAATAAGACAGGGAGGAGGAAGGTGATGGGAATATGGGTGGGAGGGTGGGCATGGTAGGAAGAATCACCATGTTCCTAAAGTTGTAATTATGAAATGTATGAAGTTTGTACCTGTAAAACCGTATAGTTCTGCATGCATTCCTATGGACTTACTTCTAAGGGTACAGTTTAAAAACTTGCCATGGGGCCCCCAAATCCCCTTAAGCTGGGTGGTAAAATAGCATTTTAAGTGTTAAAGTGATCATATGGATAGGATTAAGTGTTTGGTAACAATAATAGATAGATTTAAAAGGGAGCAAGGGCTCCAACCTGGGAAGCAGTCCACACAGCAGACTCATATAATGACTATCACTTTAAGTAGCACTCTGACCTCAAATCAGCCCTTAAGGCATTCTGGTCTGGCTGAAAATCCCATGAAAGCATTTCAGGCATGGAAAGCCAAGACACTGTGGCAAAAAGCATCCTACATGAAGGAAGTGGTCATCAAAGAAGCAGGTACTTTTCTCTGAAGGAAGGAGAGAACTTCCATTTTGCTGATGACCTTGTCTAAATACTGATGGAGTTTGTGGACTTAGAAGAACTCCATAGCCTAGGCATCTCATGTCAAGAGCTTTGGGTGATCACTGACATCATACATAAGTGTGTTGATCAAAAACAGGAGTCACTGTGCACTAACTTCCCATGCAGGACCTCTGCCCTCAGAGAGTTGTATTATGAGAGTTAACAGTAAAACTTGTTTTTAAAGATTTATTCCACTTTAGTGTATTAAATGGAGGATATTCTTATGTCTCACAAGCTATAGTATAGCTATTTAAATCAGCTAAGGGATACATATGGAAATACAATACGTGATAAATTAGGAACCATAAGTCTTTTCCAAGTACAGACCCAGAACACTAATTCATGCTCCCCATGAACACTCATTTTTGTGAAAACTGGAAGACAAAATATAAGCTCCACAACAAGACATCATCTGCAATATAGGACATGCAGAATTCTCAAGAGACAATCATTGCCACTTAATGACTTAAAGAGGAAAAGCCTCTAAGAGATAACATGAAAGTAAAAAAATATAAGAAGAGGAAAACTTGAAAAAAAAAGCTTACATTTCTATAGAAGTTAAAAAAGGGAACATAATCTATTAAATAAGAAATAAAATCCCTGAAAAAAAGACTTTCTGAATTTAAAATTGTTTATAGAAAACACCACAAAAATGATAGGTGGAAGACAAACTAAGAAACATGGAGAAATTCAGAGACAGAATATAAAGAATGGGAGACAAAGAAGAACCAGACCAAAGAAGGGACTGCACTTCCAGAAGACTGAAGGGAAAAATCCAATCGGTAAGTAACCAGGACTCTAAACAGAACAGAGACTCAGAAACCCAGCATGGAGGAACAAAGCATGCCACAACTCTTACCTGTGGCTCCTAGGTCTGGGGAACTCCACCTTACTGACAAAAAGTAAACAGAGAGCTCCACAAATCCAGTCACTGCCACAGACTGGCAGCCATAACTACAGGAAAATTCTACAGTCCTCACTGTCTTTAAATTTACTCTAGAAAGCTAACACTGCTTCTCTCCAAAAATGCATATACATTTTACCTCCCTCAACAAAGCCCTAGACCTGAGCCACTGGAGCACAGCCACTACTAAACTCCATTTCATCTTACGGAGCAGCAGGCATCTCCACTGCCATCAGAAGCCTTTGGAGTCACAGAAATCCACACAGCAAAGAGCAGGCCCTTCAGCACCCTGAAGCTGTGTAATTGCAGGCACAGCGCCTGTGTATGATCTAAGGAAGTTCCTCCTGTGTTTCTCAGGACTCAGTGCCTAAAGCACCTGAAACACAAACCCAGAGGACCAGACATGAGTAAGTCCCTTTCTGCATCTCTTTGTTAAAGGTACAGGGTAGCCTGAGCACAAGCCTCAGTGTCACTGAGACCAGAGATAATCCCTTACATATTTCATGGCTTTTGTATTGTGGCTGTTAGTGTTACAATCTCTGGAGTAACTCACACTTATTGGCGGGATCTGGAGGGCCCTATCTGCTTCAAGCTGGTCAACTACCAGCCCACATTGCAGCCTAACCAGCACATACCCTGTAAGACCTGAGATATTCTACACAAACAGAAATAAAAAAGACAACAGTAGCTACATTTATTTCAGATAAAACAAACTTTTGGGCAAAAACTGTAAAAAGAGACAAATTCGCAACACAATGATCAAGGGATTGATTCAACAAATATATGTATACATTTAAACATTTTATATATATATATATATATGCACACCTAAATCCAGAAAACTCAATTTTATAAAACAAATATTAATAGACAGACGAATTCCAATGCAATGACAGTGGGGGATTTCATCACCCCATGTTCTCCAATGGACAGATCATCTACACAAAGAGTCAACAATAAAAACCACATGCACCTAACAGACATTCACAGAACATTTTATTCAACACCTTTATAATGTATATTAGTTTCACCAGAATATTCTCTAGGATAGGCCATGTTGTAGGCCCTAAAACAACTCAACAAATTCAAAAACCCTGACATAATATTGTGTATCTTCTGTGACCAGCGTGGAATAAAACTAGAAATAAAAAAGCAAAAGAAAATTTAAAAATTAAAACATAAAGCCTGGAAAAGATACTTTTGAAACAAAATGTCATTTCAGAAATTAAAATGTCCTTGAACTAAACAGAAATGGACACACAATATATTGAACTTATAAGATATAGCAAAAGCAGTATGAGGAGGGAATTGTATAACAATAGGCATCTACATAAATAGAAAGATTTCAAATAAACAATCTTGGGTCACAACTCCACATCCTAGAAAAGCAAAACCAAACTGAACTAAAATTTAGTATAATAAAATATATAACACATATCAAAGTAGAAATAAATGAAAGAAGAACAGTGAAACAAAGAGTTGGATTATTGACAGGATAGATATTATCAACAAGGCTTTAGCTAAACTAACCAAGAAAGGAAAAGGCATAGCATGTATAGATAAAATGACAGCTGAAAAGGAACTATCACAACTGACACCACAGAAATCCCATATGGTGCTGGTTCGAGTCCCAGCTGCTCCTCTTCTGATCCAGCTTTCTGATATGACCTGAGATAGCAGTAGAAGATGGCCCAAGTCCTTGGGCCCCTGTGCCCACATGCAAGACGTGGAAGAAGCTCCTAGCTCCTGGCTTCAGATTGGCACAGCTCTGGCCATTGCAGCCATCTGGGGAGTGAACCAGCAGATTGAAGACCTCTCCCTCTGTCTCTACCGCTCTCTGCAACTCTTTCAAATAAATAAAAAATAAATCTTTAAAAAAAAGAAATGGATACATTGCTGGACATATTTAACCCACCAAATTTCAATCATTAAAACAGAGGAAACCTAAACAGACCAATAATGAGTAGTGTTATCAAATCAATAATAAAATGTCTACAAATGAAGAAAAGCCAAGGACCAGATTACTTTCATGCTGTATTCAACCAAACTTTGAAGTAAGAAGTAACACCAATTCTACTCAAAATATTTTTTTAATTAAAGGAGCAAACACAGACACATTTTTCAAGGCCAGTATTATTACCTTGACACCAAATCCAGACAAGTATGCAACAAAAGAACAAAACTATATATAAACCAATCTCCTTGATAACCAGAGATTCAAAACTGTTAACAAAATACCAGCAAATCAAATCAAACAAGACATCAAAAACATGATTTATCATGAGCAAGTGGGATTTCCCCCAGAGATGCAATGATGGCTAACAAAAGGAAATCAATAAATATAATGCAGGACATCAACAGAATAAAAGACTAAATTTATATAACAATAGGCAACAAATTGGGTTTAGAGGGAACATAGCACCACATAATAAAGGACATATATAACACAAAGATAGCTAATGCCACATTAAATGCGTAAAACAAAGTATTACTCTGGCATCTGAAACCAGACACGAATGTATAGTCTTACTTCCCCTGTTCAATATAATGCTAGATTTTGTCAAAAAGAAAGAGGCAGAAAAGGCATACAAATTGAAAATGAGGAATTCAAATTGTGCCTATTTTCAGATGACATCATTCTCTACATATTTAAACCTAAAGACGCCACACAAAGACCATTACATCTAAGAAATGAATTCAGGAAAGCTTCATAATCCAAAATCAACATGCAAAATCGACAGCATTTTTATATACAAGTAACAAACTCACTGAAAAATAAATCATAAATCCAGTTTCATTCATAATAGCTTAAAAAAACCTTAGCATAAATTTATATCAAGTATGTGAAAACTGCTACAATCATTTTTACAAAATATTAATGAAAGAAATTGAAAAGATAAAAAGAGGAAAGGTTTCACATGTTTATGTATTGGAGGCATTTATATTCTTGAAATGTCCATGACTACCAATGTGATTCACAGATCCAATGTTATACCCATTAAAATATCAATAATAATTTTTAAAGAACTATACAAAATACTAAAATTAGTGCAGAACCATAAAAGACCCTGACTACCCAAAGAAATAAATCATAAACAAAAAGTTTGAGGCATCGCAATATGGGAATTCAAGAAACTCTAGTGAGTAATTGTAAACAAAATAGCATGGTGCTGATACAAAAGACACACACACTAATGGAAAATAATAGAGATTTCACAAGTAAGGCCATTTACCTTCAGCCAACTAATTCTCAGCACAAGTGCCAAAAACATACATAGAAGAAAACACAATCTCTTACTAAATGGTTCTGGAAAACAGAATATCCATAGCAGAAGATTGAATCCCTTCACATACAACTCTCATGCCAGGTAAGTTCAAAATGCATCAGAAACCTAAATCTAAAACCTGAAATTATGAATATAAGATGAAAACATATGAAATATATAGGATGAAAACATATGATGAAACTTCAAAACACTGGTGTAGGCAAGGACTTTAAGCATAAGACTCCAAAAGTACAGGCAACAAAGGCAAAAATAAACTGGGATTATATCAAACTAAGAAAAGAACAATCAAGATAGTCAAGGGACAACTGAAAGAAAATAGCTGCCAACTATTCATCTGAAAAATTATTAATCAAATATATTAAAAACTCAGCATAAAATCAGTTTAATGATTGGCAAAAGATCTTAATAGACTTTTCTCAGAAAAATACAAATGGTCAACTAATGTGTAAAAAGCTTCACTATATTAGCCAATAGGGAAATGCAAATAAAAATTAGAATGAAGGGGACTGGTGCTGTGGTGCAGCAGGTGAAAGCCCTGGCCTGAAGAGCCGGCATCCCATATGGGCGCTGGTTCTAGTCCCAGCTGCTCCTCTTCTGATCTAGCTCTCTGCTGTGGCCTGCGATAGCAGTGGAAGATGGCCCAAATCCTTGGGCCCCTGCACCTGTGTGGGAGACCCAGAGGAAGCTCCTGGCTCCTGGCTTCGGATCAGTGCAGCTCCAGCTGTTTCAGCCATCTGGAGAGTGAACCAGCAGATGGAATACCTCTCTCTGTGTCTCTACCTCTCTATGTAACTCTCTCAAATAAATAAAGTAAACCTTTAAAAAAATTAGAATGAAATATCATCTCACTCCTGTTGGAATGGCTTTCATCACAAAGATAAGAATAACAAATGGCAAGGATTTAGGGAAAAGGGAACATTTACACCCCTTAGAGGGAATGCAGAGTACAACAGCCATTGTGAAGAACAATACAGAGTCCTCAAGAAACTAAACACAGAATTACCTCATGACTTATGTATCCCACTTCTGGGTCTATATCTGAAGGAAATTAAACTAGCATATCACAGAGACACCTGTACTTCAACATTCACTGTATCATTATTCACAATGGTCAAGCCAATGGAATCAATGTCGAAGTCCACAACAGATGAATAGCTAAATAAATAAATGTGGTATGGATACACAATGTAATATTATTCACCCTTGAAAAAGAATGAATCCCATTCACAGCATATTGGATGGAACTAGGGGGTCATTATACTAAGTAAAATTACCAGGACACAGAAAGATAATAATACAGTTCTCTCTCATATGTAGAAATTTTAAAAAGTAAATATGATCTCATAATACTGATTACTAGAGACTAGAAAGAGTGTAGAAGGAAGCGGATAATAGGTACCAGAAAATTTTAGCTAGAAGAAGTGACATGAAGTGTTCCACAGTGGAGTGGAGTGACTGTAGTTCACAATATACTTTACATATGGGATTGAAGAGCTGGAAACAAGCTTGTATTCACCAAACATAACAAAAGGGTAATGAAATGAAAAGCTAATAATACTGATTATCTATTTTGATCAGTTTACACTGAATAAACATGTTTAAATATTTCACTGTTTTCCATAAAAATAAACAATTTTTACATGTTAAAAAGCAAAGAAACACTAATGGAGACACAATGCAATTTACTGGTGATAAAAATAGAACAGTTAGTTCTCCTCAACCCATAGCCATTATAGCAATTTATATATCTAGATTCATAATTCTGACACAACCTATCAAATTTCAAGTATTTGCTTGCTTACCCAGGTACTATATTTGCATAACCCAAGATGAGTAATTTCTAGGCACTTTATATTCTTTTCTTTACTAATTGTACTTAGTTTATTTGTTAGAGGCAGCTAATTTATTCCTTGTTTCCTCAGGTTGGACTTCCAATAAACATTAAATGAAGGAATGACTAATTTATTAGAAACTAAACTACCATATATTTTTTAAAGATTTTTATTTATTTATTTGAAAGGCAGAGTTACAAAGATGTAGAGGCAGAGAGAGAAAGAGAGAGGTCTTCCATCTGCTGGTTCACTCCCCATATGGCTGCAACAGCCAGAGCTGGGCCGAACTGAAGCCAGGAGCCAGGAGCTTCTTCCCGGTCTCCTACGTGGGTGCAGGGGCCCAAGGACTTGGGCCATCTTCTAACTGCTTTCCCAGGCCATACCACAGAGCTGGATAGGAAGAGGAGCAGCCGGGACTAGAACTGGTGCCCACATGGGATGCCAGCACTGCAGGCAGAGGATTAACCTACGGCTCCATGGCACTGGCCCCTAAACTACCATGTATTAATAATCTGCTTGTCACTGCATTATTTTACCACTTGAGGGTATTCAAATACATTTAGAAATTGGGGCCAGCATTATGGTGTGGCAGGTGAAGCTGCTACTTGTCAATGCAGGTAACTCATTTGGATGCTAGTTCAAATCCTGGTTGTTCCACTTCCGATCCAGCTCCCTGATAATGGCCAAGAGAAAGCAATGGAACACGGCTCAAGTGATTGGGCCTGTGCCACCCATATTGGAAACCCAGATGAATCTCCTGGCTGTTGGCTTCAGCATGGCCCAGTGCTTGCTGTTGTGGCCATCTGGAGAGTGAACCAGCAGCAGTTAGAAGTGTTTCTCTTCTCTTCTCTTCTCTTCTCTTCTCTTCTCTTCTCTTCTCTTCTCTTCTCTTCTCCTCTCCTCTCTTCTCTTCTCTTCATTTCAAAATAAATAAATATTTTTTAAAAAAATTAGAAATCAACTGGATTACCAATTTATTCTTAGTTTTCAACATGTATCTTAAAATGGCCTTCTAATATACTTACTTGCTGGCATATGTGTGAGTGCTACCTTCTAATCTTGACCTAAAAGAAATTGAAAATAATGTCTCCAGTTAATCCTAAGGAAGCTGATCAAGTTTGTGATTGAAAGTCAATATATCTTATTAGCAGTATTTTATCTTTTATAAGACTAGTTACTGATAAAATAACATCCAAAGGTCACTGAACAAAAATACAGATGAATAACATTTTCATTAGCTTATATACTAAACTCACAAAGCACACAAATTTCAAATACTGCAGTGAGAAGAGCATCAAGAAAGCACAGGATTGCTTTATTCCCGTATCACTTCTAAACATCAAGTATACATTTGACTCTCATATCTGATTCTGACCTTTGTACTTTAATTTTTAGCTTTTTATTCATGTTAAATAAATGATAACAACTTGTAAATAAAAATCTATACTGACTTCTTGACAATCTGATAGAGTTAGCTGGCAAAGTAAATTTCCCTTTCCATTCTTCATTTAGAAGAGTGTTAAAAAAACAGTACACAACTGCAGATAAAGGAAATACTTCATCTAATATCCATAAAAATGATAAAGCTTAAAGATCACAGTGTAAATAGGAGTTAAGGATTAAAAATTTGCAAAACTATCTAAGGTAGTTATACACACTTGGAACTACAGACTTAATATTTCTGTCTTACAAGGAGTTGAGATACTTGGCACTTACATGTGGAGAAGCTGTAAATCTAACTAAACCAGGGAGCCAGAGTGACCATATCACCCATGACACAGAAATAATAAAAATTCTGACCAGTGAACTTGGAATTCAGCATGGGTGTGTGTAGATGGAAACTTGCATCTCTGAGAGTACTGAATCTCAAGTCACTAAAAATGTGGTTTCAGAATTCCAGTTTATAATCCCACAAATTCTTGAAAATCATGTATAATTATTAAGAGAAGCAAAAGTAAATAATATTTTATATATGTGATAAATATATATATTTGTTTTCATGGGAAAAATTATAGTGAAATTAAAAGATTATACAGTTATAAACAACTAAATATTAATAACACCACAAAAATAAGGAATACATGCACCAAGAACTGAAAATGATTTATTTAAAAGACAATACAACAATACTTATAAGCTCTGGAGACATATTTGAAGGGCTAGAATCCATAAACTGGAGAAATGAAATAGTGATTTGAGGAAATCAAAATGTAAGATATAGAGATTGAATTCAACAATCTTTTTTACTTATGGTCTCTGGGTTTTATAACATTATTAGAAGATCTTCCCAATTCTATTACTACAACATGTTTACTTATGCTTTCTGCTGGTATAGTTCAGGTGTTATTTCTTATGTGTAAATAGTTGATATGCATGAAATACAATTTGACTTGGGTTATCAAGTATGGTTCAAATTTATTTTTTAGAATTTATTTACGTCAATATCATTGAGTAATCAGCTTTTTTACATTAATGGTCTCCTTTATCATATATTAAATTTATATGTACATACTCGAGTGTATTTTGGATATAATAGTCTATTGCATTGATATGTCTTTCTAAACATGTGTCAATAAAATGCTTTTATTTTTAAAAATATAATATCTGAAAGTGCATGTGGTGGGTATAGTGGCACAATGGATTAAACCACCACTTGGGATGCCTGCATCCTATTTTCAGAGTGTGTGGGATCAAATCCTACCTTTTCTCCTGATCCAGGGTCCTGCTAATGCACACCCTGGAGGCAACAGAAGATGGCTCAAGTACTTGGGTCACTGCAACATCTGGGAGATCCAGTTGAAGTTCCTGGCTCTAAGACAGCCTGCCCCTGCTCTGCCTATGCTGAGCATTTGGGAAGTGAGATGGGATTAAATCAATTCACTCTTTCTTTCTTTCTCTCTCTCTTTCTCTCTCTCTGCCCCCTCTTCCTTTTAAATTGAATGAATGAATGTGTATATATATACATATGTGTATATGCATGTATATATGTAGATATGTGTACATATATATATATATACTCAAACCATAAAGCACAATTTCAGTTATGACCAAGATGAAGTGACAGACTAGATCTACCCTCCCGTATGAAAAAAAAAAGAAACCTGAAAATATGAAAGAATCAGTCAGACATTCACTATTAGTGCAGGACACTAAACCCTGAGATGGAAAAACAAACAAGGTGAGCCCCATGTTTGAATTTCATACTCCCTGGAGAGAGTTTCCACAATGTACTGCATGCATGGAGAGGCAGGCAAATTCCAGGCACCTGAGTTAAGCTGGTGGAACTGGAAGTCCAGGAAAGCAAACACAGCCAGAGTGCCTAGGGAACAGAATCAGAGAGGAAAGATGCCCAAACAGGGCCTCTGGGTTCCGTGGGGACCCCCATAAAATCTATCAAATATGGACTGGTGGGTACCTGAGCCAGAGTAAAAATATTCATAAAGAATGAGTAAAATGCTCATCTTTTGTATACACACAAGAACATAAATAGCTTTAGTTTCTGTCCCCACCATCTGAGTTGAGAAATACAATTGGCACAGAGTGAGTTAGGCAGCATTATTCAGAATGGTATTGTCTCAGTAGCAGTAACCACTCTAACAAACTATAGACACACGTAACAGATGGCTCTCACATGCATTATGCTAAGAAAAAGAGGCCAGACTATATAACACATGATTCCATTTTTTAAAGTTCTAAAATAGGTAAAAAACTGATAGGCACAGAAAACAGATTTGCCAGTGTACAGATCTAGAGGTAAGGTGAGAAGAAATAGTCTTGGTGATGAAACTGTTATTATATATGTTGTTATCTGAATAGTATTTGTATGTATTTGCTAAACTCATCACACTGTCCACACATAAATGACAAATTTCCCTATATGTAAATTATTTTAAAGCTCTATTATAGTCTCAGAAGGACAGAAAAAAATAAAGAAGCAGGAAGAGAAGAAAAAAGAGAACATCCACCACCACTATGACCACCACCACCATGGAGACTAGCACGGAGGTCCTAAAATAAAAGAAATCCAGGAGATTTTTTTTAAAAATACAGGATGAGAAAGAGTCAATAATAGAGGAGATATGACTAAGGATTTTCCTATTTTACAGAAAAAATATGGTTTAAGTATAAAGGTAAAATGAATTAATTTGACTGACAGGAAACAAAATTACATGTCAGAATTTCATAAAAGGACTAACAGAAATTGTCCATCTAAAATTCCATGCCCATATACCCTTTCATTCAAGAGAGACTATATGGGGCCAGTGTTGTGGCACAGCACATTAAGCTACTGCTTCCAATGCTGGCATCCCATATTAGAGTGTCTGGGATCAAGTCCTGCCTCTTCTCCTGATCCAGGTTCCTGCTAATGCATCTGGGAAGTAGAAGGTGATGATGGATCAAGTACATCAAGTACTTGGGCCCCTGCCACTCCTATGGGAAACAAGGATGGAGTTCCTGGATCTTGGCTTAGGCCTGCCTGGCCAAGCCCTGGCTTTTGCAGTCACTGGGGAAGTGAAACAGTGGATAGATGACCTTTCTCCCCCTCCACCCCCTGTGTATGTCTTTGTGTGTGTATGTGTGTCTTCCTGTCATTCTTCTGCCTTTAAAATAAGAAAATACATCTACAAAAGGAGTGAATGTGCAAAAAAGACAAACTCATACATGTAAGTCAGACAATTAAAAACAGAGTATCATAATAATACCAGATAAGGGACGGCACCGTGGCTCACTTGGCTAATCCTCTGCCTGCGGCGCCGGCACACCCGGTTCTAGACCCAGTTGGGGCGCCAGATTCTGTCCCAGTTGCTCCTCTTCCATTCCATGCATGCTGTGGCCTGGGAAGGCAGTGGAAGATGGCCCAAGTGCTTGGGCCCTGCACCCGCATGGGAGACCAGGAGGAAGCACCTAGCTCCTGGCTACAGATTGGCGCAGCGTGCCGACGGTAGCGGCCATTTGGGGAGTGAACCAACGGAAAAAGGAAGACTTTTCTCTCTTTCTCTCTCTCTCTCACTGTCTAACTCTGCTGTCAAAAAAAATATGAGATAAAATACGTACTTCCTCCAAGAAGAATGCTGAATGTAGAGAACTTAAATGCAAAATATCTGACAAACTGAAAGAAACTGATAAATTCCTAAGAAGATATCACCTTCTAAGACTGAATCATGAAGAAAGAAAATCTAAACAGACCAATATAAAATGAGAGTGAATTTGTAATCAAAAATATACAAACACGTGGCAGTCCCATCTCTAGTTTTCTAAGGACTATCCACACTGTTTTTCGTAGCAACTGACAAGATGTCAACATGAACAGAGTAGTAATTAGTGGGGGCTGGGAAGTGTAGAAGGGATATAGGGAAGTTAAACAGTGGAACCAAATCATAATGTTACAAAGAGTAAATTCCCAGTGTTATGCCACATAGTGGATGATTAGTTCACAATAATGTAGTACACATTTTATCAGAAAATAGAAGAAAGGAGTTACAAGGCTCCAGTAATAAAGCAATGTCAAAGAGAGGTAAATGCTGATTACCCTAATTTTATCAATATATACGGTATACATGTATTGAAATGTGGCAGTGTAGCCCAAAAATATGTACAATTGTTGTTAACAAAAAATAATTTTCAAAAGTTCCAACATGTTCTTAAAACTGTATATATAGAGTAGGGGGAAAATGGCAGATTTGGGAGCAGCACCCTACTCGAGGCTGGGAAGAAAATGTTCAGGGAATAGGGTAGGAAGTAAATGCTCAGCAAATAGAAGAGGAAACCTCCTGGGAAGCCCCACAGGAGGAGGAGAAACAGAAAATCAACCAGGAAGCAACAGAGTTAATGGACACTATAGACCAAATGGACCTAACAAATATCTACAGAACCTTTCACCACACAAAGGCAGAATACACATGCTTCTCATCAGTACATGGAACAGTATCTAGGATAGACCACATGCTAGCCCACAGCACAAGTTTCAGCAAATTCAAAAAAACTGAAATAATTCCATGCATCTTCTTGGACCACAATAGTAAGAAACTAGAACTCAACAAGAATCTCTAGAACATACATAAGC